TCATGATGCAATCCATGAGAGGAGGTAGGGCTGCGATTTTTCTTCGGTATATATGTGTCACTTCAAATAGCCTTTGGCCCAAAGAAGGGGAGGGTATGATTCTGTTACTTTTACAAGTCGTTGAATTTGAAGAAACAAAGCTGCAGCTTACACCATAGAACCACCACTATTAAGCTGAGGTTAACGAGGGTGACTACAGTGAAAAAGGTTTGAAGTTATACATTATGACGGGATATCGAGCTTATTTTGAACTAGGGAAAGGTTCATAACAGATATACGAGACACAGAAACTTAGTTAATTGTCTTTACGTTCTGCTCTTTATATACAAGTAAGTAAGTACGTTAATTTCATGTCTTCAAGAGTTCGTTTTCAAATGCTATTTTTTGTTTTTTACTGTAATCTATGGAGAGCCGAACTGCTTGTTTTGGGAAAAACATGAAACGAGGGGAGAAGCTTTTGCAGGGCCGACGGTGGGGATTTAGTTTCCATTGAAACCGAAGAAGAATTGGACCTTATCCTCAATGAGATTAAAGACACCAATGAACAAAGATGGCACATCGGTTTGGTAGGAGAGAACGGGAGTTGGACCTGGTTTAGTGGAACACTAATGACTATTTTTACATGGAGAGACCAACTAAGTGGGTGCAGAAATAAGGCCGTGTTAGTCAAGAAGAACCAAGAGAGCCACTTTGCAAATTGATTCCATTGCGGAGAAGACACTTCATATATTTGTGAAATGCCCAAAGGTAAGAACACATTACATTTGTATACTACATTGTAAAAAGAACCTCGCATAAGAAAAGTGTCACCACGCCACAGAGTACACAGCTATGTCCAAGTGTAACTGTTAACTGCGCATGGGCATGTGCCGCAATGTTTCTTACGTTTCACAAACTTGAAGGAAATTCACTTTAGTTAACTGATGGACAAAGGTATAAAAGAAACTCACTCTTTCAATCAGTTCTTCAAATTGTTAAAAAAAAAAATTGAACCAACTCGAGCTCCAAAATGAACTGTGTTGGCGAGTTAGCATCGAGGAACCCTTCTTCAACTTTCTTGTTGCATGCACTAATAATGTTGAGAAAAATTGTTCGGCGGCTTTTTGGGTTGCATGAGTATCAAATTTTTAATTGTTTTGAAATTGTTATGATGTGGTTGAGTAATTGTTGTATTTCATCGTATTGCTGCTCAGCAATTCGTACCTCTTTTTATATTTTTTGAAACATAAGACTGTCTAGACGTTTATTTCGTGAAACGGCCGGAGTGCGATAGTTGACGACGCAATAATAGCGGCAGAGCGAAAAAAGAGGGAGGTCAGGATCCGGTCGCGTAACGAACGTGTTCGATACGCAAGCTGACACAAATTTTTCGTTTGACCGCTTCTTTCCCGACTTCTACCATCATGCTCCCTTTTACCAACTGAAAACCCGGAACAGGCTATGGAAATATTGTCTTGAAAACTCTAAGATCCATGAATAACTTTCATGGAAATAGAAAATAGTTTACAATCCAAACATCTTTTCAAAAAAATTTACGCAAATCGAGAAAAATATTTTGTCACGTGACACTTGCGCGAGTAGTCAGCACTTTGTAACGATACAGCACATCGTGTCGCATTAGGTTGCACTAGGTTGACTTGGAGTCACTACACGAACGGAATAAACTGTACCAAGTGTATTGCGATGTTCTGCCACAAATGTGGAAAATAATTTGTGAGCAATGAGTTATTCTGCCGTTACTGTGGAACAATAAAGAGACCAAAACAGGAAAATGTGTTACACAGTTCGTCAGATGAGAGATCTACCATTGAACATTACTTTGAAAGAGGATTTCGTTATGATACTATTGCTCATTTTCTTTTTGAAAAATACCATGATATTTGTATGAACTTTTGTAGGACTCTAAAGAGAAGGTTGCGTGAGTATGGGTTGAGAAGGAAAAATAAAGCTCATTAAGAGCACGAAACCGTTGTAACACGAAAAATAAATTTTCTAGAAGGCTAGATTCACGTTTTTACTAACTTTTCGCTCTAGTTGTTATGTTTCATAAGAAAAATTCAAGTTTCGCTTTGCGCTATGCGTTTTTTTTGCTTGAGAGAAAATATGACCCGCCTTTTTTAAATTGGAAACTTTGAGTCACGCGAAGAAATTTCTAGTAGTCATTACATCAAAAGATTAGATAGATCCTGGCTTTAATGTGAATGTCTAAGAAAATCTATCCGCGAAATTGACATATTTCAAGGCCTGGACAAGGAGCCTCCAAATCATTTTATCTCGTTATGTCTTAATTAACAAATTCATCAAATTCTTCAAAAAAAGCGCTGAATTAAACCTTTTTACAGCAAGACGATCAAGGTTAAACTAAAAAAACCAAGAAGAGGCCGTAAATTCATCGGAAATAGTTCAAGATAAAGTAAGAAATGAAAACGTCATATTCAGTGGTTTAACAATTAATACACGCGTATATTTTGCGATTTGCGTGGTATTTTCCAGGCACCACAGGGGCGATTTGAAATGACATAACGCGGTCTTGATCTACATTTTTCTTTAAAGATTCCTCAATGTCTACTGTAATTTCGTCGCCTTTACCATCACGGGAAATAGCACTTGCAACCTCGCTATCCCCCTCGCCCTCGCGATCGCCATCGCCGTCGCCGTCGCCGTCGCCGTCGCCGTCGCCGTCGCCGTCGCCGTCGCCGTCGCCGTCGCCGTCGCCGTCGCCGTCGTCATCTCCGGTTGAGCAGCTGGTATGTTTTCTAAATAGTCATTTACCGTATTTTTGCAAGCCGCTTTGAGGATCCTCCTTATTTACAATTGTGATAGACATTATTTTTTATTCTAGGCAGATGAGTATTAAAGTAAATGGTTTGAACCCAGGAGTATCAGTAGTTCGTGTAGTGTGATCGTCCGGGTGAGTGTAGTTCTGAAAAGAACTGTTGTTGGTGACTGACGTTTCGACTATCTGTGCGATAGTCATCTTCAGAGTCAAGTGAGTAGTAGTTGTCAGTCGATGATGTTATAAAGTCTGGTCTGTTGAACGTGATTGGTCTGTTTAGCTAAACAGTTCTTTTCAGAACTACACTCACCCGGACGATCACACTACACGAACTGCAGATGAGTATGTTTCAAAATTTGACGGAATAAATATTACCAGAAAGAGTTCCATACAGGTATTTAATTTACATAACTTAAAGGCTATTAACTTTGATATATGTTTCTAAAACCATGAAAACTAAATATCTGACCTTTAAGGATAAACCACCATTCAAGCCAAATGAGGTGAAAATAGCGAGGTTTAGAAATAATCCAGGTTCCTAAAAGAGTTCTTGAGCCAATAAATACCCAGGACAGCATTGAGGGCCTGCTGCTAGACTTTTTCCGCATTCTTAATTTATAAATTGTATATTTGAGATTGGCTGGTCGTATTTTATGTACTTGTAGGAGGCTGTAACTGTGTTCGAAGATTTTACCATAAAAAACAAGAACGTCACAAGGGACGCCATGGGAGACATTAAAACGCTACAAAAATCCACCTTTGAGGTGGCAGAGGCCGTCGAGAAATTTGCTCTTAATTATAGCAAGCGACACCTGAGTGGAATGAGGCCTTCAAAAAGTTTTGTTTTCCGAAAAATGGGTGAGGTTGCGGCCTTCAATCCTGTTTAGTTTTAAAGTCTATTCCTCTGTTACTTACTGACTAACTGATCGACTGAGTTGTCTAGTTTCCTAGAAGATGTAAGAACTCAGTTATCAACCCAACCTATCAGAAACGTCATTGCTGAATTTCATCGACTCATCGGTTTTTTTAATTTGTTCAATATTTTTATATTTTGCGGTGAACAATTAAGGAAAGAAAAAGGAATGTTTCAAAATTTTCATCTTCTCGCTCTATTTATTGAAACTTTCCGTAAATATTAGTTTGGTGAGCAACTAACTGGAATTATCAAATCTCCGAAATACTTTCCGCTTACTTCATCCTATGCACTGAACTCAAAATTGACATATCGCCTGCGATGCATATAAATGCAAACTTTTTAACCGTACCCGTAAAAATTCCCTAATGAACTCTTTCTAAACGCACCGAAACGCGCCGGGGAATGAGATGAGTATTCACAATTTTAGTCCGTGCAGTACCACTCACTTTTAATCAGTTTAACTTTGAAAAAACGGTTTAAAAATAGTTTAATTCGCTGGAACATCACTAAAGAACAAACATATTACAAAAAGCACGTTATGTTTGTTTATATGTGCTATTGTAAACTTCACAGTAAGTGTTTTTATGTGTACGTCATTAAGTTTACTTTGTTTTTTCCCACAGTTTTGGTCATTCAAAAAGCCTATCGCCTGAATACGAGTGGCTTCCACTTTGAGGAAAAGGGATGGCGAACGAGAATCGATATCGCATCTTCAAATTTTAAGGAAAATGGTTCGTATTAACCAGCCTGTTCACATTATAACTTTTAATTTCCTTGGTTTCTCCGAACGAAGTTTCTGTATTGAAATAAAGCCTCATATAAATGCGCTTCATTAGTTTACATAGTCTATTTTCTTTAACCATTCGCCTTCCTTCTAATGTCGCATACCTTAGAGCCTGATAAAAATTTGAATTTTTTGGGCTTTTTGTTGTTGTTTGATAACTTTTTTTGTTGATTCTTGGGGGGTTTAAGGATCATTGGTAGTTGCGTTTGTGTACAAGGATCTGCATGACCTACTGCTAACAGATCAAGCCATCAGGAGTGGAACAGACAACCAAAGGTGACGTTCTTTTAATATCAGTCCATGTTGTTTATCCCCAAAAACACAACACGCAAGCACATAGGATTTAAGTTCAACTGAGCTGAACTTAGAAACTTTCCAAAAATGCCGACTAAGGTTGGAAGACTACCAACTTGTCTCTGACCATTCCACCTCCATGAAAAATTCGCTTGAATCTACCAATATGATATAATGTTGTATTTTCAAATACAATTTCCTTCATAGGTTTGTATATCAACTCTAGAATCATGGTCATAACTATGGACCCCAAGCCAGAGAAATTGCGAGAAAATGTTATCCTAAAGTTCAAAGACGTAAAGGTAACATTAAAATTAGTTGCTATGCGTTGTTTTGATTCATTCTGACGAGATAAACTTTATTTTCAGGTCTTGACAGCAGAGAAGCGCTGTATGTTTTGGAGTAGCTTTAGCAAAAGGTAAAAAAGAACTACAATATATTATTGTACGGTATTTATTCCTTCTTATATTACATTAAGTGTAAAGGAGAATGAATGAAATTTCTCAGATGTTTTTGTGCAGATTAACACTTTCCTGGAAGCCTACATGTTGTCTTCTTTAGAGAGGGGAAGTCTGACTGAAATGTTCTCGCGCAAAATTGTCAAACATCACCTCTTCCCCAAACAATGGATCATTTTATGCCTTTTGTTAACTTTACTTTTTTTCAGGTCTGAGGGATTTTCAGAGGAAGGATGCCATGTAGTTACATCAAAAAGCAACTCAGAAGAAACAGTTTGCAGCTGCAATCATTTGACGCATTTTTGCCGTCTTAATGAACTACAACGGTAGCACAAAGGTAATCAAATAATTATTGCCTTACTCAATAATTTTATGGGCTCAATTAACTAAATTAATGTTTTCCTTCATTTTTGTTGTTGTTGTTATTGCTGTTGTTTGTTTTTTTTTTGTAACAGCTCACCGAGGAGGACAAAACAATTCTGAAAAATATTACCTACGTGGGAATGAGCCTTTCCATCTTCGGGATACTTTTAACAGTAATAATTTAATCGTGCCTCACGTAAGTAATGTACCTGAATAATAACTAGGTAAATACTTAACTCCCCTCACCAAGGCTGGTAAGAAAAGAGATCTCAATGCAAATCTCCACACAAATAAGAACGTACAAGTAGGATAATTCACAAATTCAAGCTACATTTCATGCCCCATCAAGAGTGCTTGAACAGCTCATGGTCTCATAGTTTATGAATTTTTTAGGGTTTAGATATTTTCCTTTTGGTCCTCTCTGGAGCTATTTACTGATTTTTTCTTTCCTTTTCTGTCAAGATTTAGTTGATTTTTTTGTCATATTTTGCTGTCTTTTAATTTCAGTTTTATTGTGTTTGGCTGTGCTTACTGTCTTCAGTGTGTTGTTGTTTTTGTTGTTGTTACTTTTGTCTCGTTCACTCTTTTTAATTTATTGTTATTTCACCAGAGATGTCCGTCAGCCTCTCTCTCAAATTCGACTGATGTGTTTCTATCTCCCTTGGAGCTGGACAGATCATCTTCCTCGCCGGAATAAACGCCACAGAAAACAAAGTTAGTGTCCTCTCCGTCTATCCATAAAATGAATTTACACTTTGCACCGAAAATATCTTGTCGAAAGGAGCACGATAAGAATACGAAAACTCTCTCCTTTCACAGGCTGCCTGTGTTACAATAACAGCTCTGATGCAGTATTTCTTGATGGCCGCTTTCTGTTGGATGCTGATCGAGGGAATTTATCTCTACCTCTTCGTTATGAAAGTTTACAACATCAACACTAAGATGTACATGTCTCACGTTATCTCATGGGGTAAGTTCATTAATTTATAACTTGGATCGCCAAATCTGGTGTTTTCGTCCAGTAAAGTGTTTCGATCTCCTTCCTTTCTCTAAGGGTAGGTCTTACAGTGATCATGGTGGCCATTCCACTTGGCACCGCTGCTGGAGAAGAAGGGTTACAAAGCTATACGAGTAATAAACAGTAAAAAAAAAAATTTAACGCTTTCTTCTTGCTCTTCTCCTTTTAATTCGTTTCATTTAATTTTTTTTTTATATATATTTTGTGATAGGCATCATTTCATTTGCTGACAACTTGTATTTATTTCTAGTGTTTCATTTCTTCGTGTTTAGTTGCTGGATTTCCACGACCATCAACCTGATCTGGATATTCGTCGCCTTTGTGGCTTTCATTGAAGTTGTGAGTTCATGATTAGTGTTGGTGATTGTGATTGGTATACCTGGACTACTTGCTGCTAAACATTTTTTCCTCAGCTCTTTAAAACGAATTAAGTATTTATGATATGACCCCACACAATATTTACCATTTTATTTTTCCTATTTACTCACAAAAAACTTTGGACGTAGCCGCTGTTTTCGGAGATGCTGGTCAACTTTAACCTAATGATGGTCTTCAATAGCGAGAAAAACCTGTGGAGGCAATGTCCTCACAGGCATAAGATGGCTTCATAAATTCTCTGGCTTTTACTTCATAGTATGAAAAAAAAAATAAATGAATAAAAATCTATCCCTTCCCTCCACGCAAAAATAACACATGAAAAAAAAAATTAAAAAGATAAAAGGAGCAGGAAAAGTAGGATATATTGAATTTGTATAATTTAACATGAGGCTTTACTTGGCGTGGTTCTTTCAGTTTAGACACTTTTGTGCGCGATTTCTTTTGCTCGTTGGTAGAGGATCGAAACTCATAATCAAGGTCCCCCGGTTGAGAGTTCTATTCGCTGTAAATGACTCTTCATCCCACGCTTGTTACCGAAATTGTAACTTCCTTGGCAAAGATACCCTCTCCTGCTTTGGCTATTCGACATCCATATCTAAATAATCGCTTTATTTTTTTAAATTTTTTTTGTTGTTGTATATTTTAGCTCAACATTTTGATACTCTTACGAGTAGTAAGGGAGATGACTAATTTGTTGCAGCAAACAGGGGCAGACCACCATTTTCAACAAATACGGTGAGAATCACAACATAAACTAAAACCAAATAGTGGAAGACATTGCCATAACCTCCTGTGGGGCTATATTTGCCTAGCTTCCCCATTCCTTAATCAGTAAGGCACCAACATATCTAACAATGAAAATTCATTGTTAATTGAAATTAAAAGAATGTTTTTTTTATTCTAACTCCTAGTCTTGGCATCAAAGCATGCGTGGTGATAATTCCCCACGTGTCACGTGGCTATTCGGTCTCCTCTCGCCTGTACATAAAGCTTTCGCTTACATCTTGACCATACTTAACTCTACTCAGGTCAGTGTTCGATGGTAACTGTAAAAAGTCATTAAGTCTTTTATTTATTTCACCTCCTAACCAAGTGAGACACCATTAGGATGGTCAGATGACATATTTATTTTTTATTTTCAAAACAAAAAGGTGTTAACTATGCAAGAGAAGACAGACTTCTTCAATTATAAGATATGCAATTTTCTTTCCTTCTTGAAAATCTTAATAAATATTGGACTAATTTGTTTGCATATTATAAAATTAATGATCTTGAAATCATTTTCATGCTGCAGGGTTTCCTGATTTTCGCTCTACACTGCATGCGTAACACTCTGGTGAGATAAAACATCAAACTGATAATTAACTGCATATCATCAAGTTTTATTATTTCGATAAATATCCGAGTGCTAAGAACCGTATTTCGTGTTGCTCGTCTATCTGCAGAACAGAGAGCGATTCAAGAGAAAGATGAACATCGTTTTTCCGTCTTCTATAAAGGACAACTCCACAAGAAAGAGCTCACAGGTCAATTCAAATGAGGTTGGGAATGTGTGGACAGTTTAATTGCAGTCTTGTGCTGAATTTGCATCGAAATAGTACTTAACTTAAATAACTGGATTCAGCCAACCGGAAATAACAACCAAATGCTTAGAACAATCACTTAGTTAACAGCAATAAGTCAGTTACGATCGGTCTGAGTTACGATCTGCTGGTAAAAGAGGTCTTTGTCTTCATTATTGTTTAAGCATTCAACTGGTTGTATTATTTTGTAACCCATCATTTTTATGATAATAAGATTATTTTCTAGTCGATCGTATATTTGCAGGCAAGAATCATCGAAATACACCAATCTATAAGTTTAAATTTCTAATAGCTCCGTATGTTGATGACTGCAGTGTTTCACTTACTTAGACTACAAACTTCTTATCACTGTTATTAATTTTAACTACAAGCTATGGATAGTCTCTGAAACTATTAGTTTCTAGAAATTTCTAGAATACCTAATTATGGTGACATGCATACAAAGGAACTTTTCTGCAAAATTTTCTAAGGTTGCGTAGCTATGGGGTAGCACCACCCAAATGGTTGTTGTAAGCTTCTGGAACACTTTGTGCAAAAGGACTCTGTCGTGCAGCAGTAGTACTTGTTTTTGTCGGGAGTGACTGATTTTTCAGAAAGTTTTGATAAAAGGAGAGCGACTGTGGAAGATTTTTAATTTCGAGGAACTTGGCAGACAACTGTGAGATTGTGTCAGTGGTGAGCTAAGATGTAATTTGTAGTGGGCTTAAATAAGTTTATTTAGCATAAAAAATGTGCTTCCTTTAAGAGTCGCTCCTTAGTAACAATATTAAAGTTGTTTAATAGTGTTCTTTCTGTCGGTTAAATTGTACCGTAAAAAAAAAATGCTAATAGTAGTAGCAGCTAAAGTTGACGTTCAAAGCCATATCATGGTTCAACCAGGAAAATGACACCGACATTACACTTTCAAATAAACAAATCACTTTTAACGACACACCCCGTTTAACCCACGTAGCCGATTTCCCAAGACGCAGACTATACCTTTTCGTTATTATTCTTAAATAATACATTTACGCTTGAAAATGTTTAGACAAGAAACCAAACATGCAGGAATTTAAAGAAAAGCTATAATACAATGGCAAATAGAGAAATGCACTCTTCCCTAATTCACAGATTTTCCCGCGAATCCTTTTTTTCCTGATTTAACTAGCCAATTTAAACAGACATGTACGGGTCCACAAATGATCCCAAATGATCATTTACGCTTGAAAATGTTTAGACAAGAAACCAAACATGCAGGAATTTAAAGAAAAGCTATAATACAATGGCAAATAGAGAAATGCACTCTTCCCTAATTCACAGATTTTTCCCGCGAATCCTTTTTTTCCTGATTTAACTAGCCAATTTAAACAGACATGTACGAGTCCACAAATGATCCCAGGACCGCAAATGATCCCGGACCACAAATGATCCCCAAATTGGACCGCAAATGATCAAATAAAGTAAAAGTATGGTCAAGGAAAAATCACAGAAGAAATTTGTCCAAAATGTGGACGAAAATTCCAGTGCTACTCACAAGGTGTTTTTGAGAGCGGTGGAGTGTTGCAGTACTACTCAGACGACAGCGTCTTCTGTAACAGTTGCTTAATGGACGAATTTTAGTTTGGAGTTAGGTACAACAAAAACAAACAGTGCCGCAGTTGGGTGGAAACTTATTAGTCTAAAACACTACGTTGTTGTTGTTGTTGTTGTTTTTACTGACATCGTTTCTGTTGTTGCCAGCCGGGTGACGTCAATGGACTGATACAATCTGATTCAAAGATAGAACGCTATACCACGCCGGCATGCCAATGTGTAGCTAGTTAAGCAAGAATATGTAGCGTTTATTGTGTAGTCGAAAAGAATCTCGCTCAGAATTTTAAGATATATAGTAAAGAGAATTCTAGCTTCGTTTATGAAGGTGCTATTCATAGCATCGTAGCATGAAAAAAGTAACAAAAAGAAGCCAGTTGTAAGCCATAATTTAAGATGAGTTAATAAAAATAATTGCTATTCACCCCAGTTCCCTATCCTCACCATTCCCACATCCAAGCCATTCCTTATTTTTTGGTCGGGATCATTTGCGGTCCCCATCAGGGATCATTACTGGTCCGGGATCAATTGCGGTCCAATTTGGGGATCATTTGCGGTCTGGGATCCGTTTGCGGTCCGGGATCATTTGCGATCCTGGGATCATTTGCAGATCTGTACAGACACACTAAATCAAAGCCCAAAATCTTATCTTTTCTTCTACCAGCACTGTCTCTAAATTTATTTTTTAGTGTTCGTAGAAGGTAATTAAGGTGCAGTTTCGTAACGTACTAAAGTAATATTAAGTAGGCAAGTGAATTTAATGAGCGACTGCGAATTTTGTATTGTAATGTATTGTAAGTCATGTTCTGTTTACTAATGTAATGTAAGTAACATTACGCTGTAAGTGACTGTTACTAAGTGACTGTTAATATAAGTAAGAAATAACTACTAGTGACTAATCCAATAAGTACAGTATTGTAATAAGTAGAGTGATGTCGAGTAATGTAAGTAGAGTAATGTAATGTAAGTTTAGTTTTGTACAAATGTTTCTTCAATAAATGTTTATTAAATTTAAAAAAAAATTAAAAATTAAGTTGACATTCAAAGTTGTTGCTTAATGGACAAATAGATGAATACGCAAATGGTTGAATAAATAAACAGCAAAGGACAGAAAAACCCTTATGATTGGGTCGTTTTTGATCAGTTACATTTCCCAGTTTTTTTTTTCGCATCCCTAAGATAAGGAGTACCATTTTGAATCGAAAATACATCGAATAATTTGGAATTCAATAGGGGCGACGCTAGCCGGAGATGGCATAAACCAAGAAATTATAATCTCTTGCGCAAACTTCATCAAACAGCGATTAAAGAACTTTACGCAGAGTAAACAGTTTAAAGGAAAAAAGCTTAGCGATAGAAATGCGGAATATTTCCAGGGGCCTGGCTTTCAAATATCACTACAACGGAGAGGCTAGCATTGCAGAGGAATTTCAATCAGCGAAAGAAGGAGTTGATCATGTAGATGTGCCCAACTCGGTTTACAACAGGCTAGACTTCGTCATACCTATTTATAAATCAGCATGAATGGAGAAGCGTGCGATTTAGGCGGAATAAGTAATTTAAAAAGAACGTCCTGGAATGTACAAG